GAAGCAATTCACCACACAATTTCACTGCAACATCAGCCCTCACTCTCACTCATCCTGCTGGTCTCATCAGTCTTAACTGTTAAATAGTAAACTGCAGAACAGGGGTGTCCAAAACATTGATCTTGATCTACTGGTCAATCGTGGGGTGCCCCTGGTCGATCCCGTGATCCTGAGCAATCACCCGGGGGGGGAGCTCAAAAACTTTGGTTCATCCTCAATCCAATAGGTAGATCACTTCCAGTTTTTTTTATAGTGGGAATAGATCACAGTCTCTTGGAAGTTGGACATCCCTGCTGTAGAGTTTTTCAATAAAATTTCGTTTCTGGAAAAACTCATCTTGTCTCCACTGATCCCTTGAAAACGCAACTATCCTAACTAAATGATCCAAGTTACGTATACTTCGCTCTCCTGTGTTCTAGTGCTAGCTTCTGAGCCAGCCCCACAGGACAAACAGCAGCTTCTGGCAGAATACCAGCAGAGCTGCTGTAATAAATGGTTCTATTATCACATGTTAAGATTACCCCCCACTCCCCTACCATTCATGGAAGAGATTGTTCTCCGAACATGGAGTAGTAGCCTACAGACATGTTAAGAGACATGTTTCCTAAGTATAGTAACACTCTTCTTCAAGCACAGCCTGCAGAGAGCTGCAGTGCTGGGGACTGAGACTTAGAGGAATTTCTCCCTATAGATTAAGATGATCTGCTGCTGCTTCTTGTGTCTTTTATGAGACTTCCTGTGTTGTGAGGGGACATGGCCATCTATCTAGACACTCTGCCTTTCACTTCTTATATTAATAAACCCCTAGTCCACTGAATAAATCAAGGATGTACCTATCTCTCTTAAGCTTTCCCCCTTTTCCTCATGAGTCACTTTTTTAAAAGACTGTAAACCAGCATACCATTCTTCAAAAAAGAATGCAACAGCAATGCTAAGGGCAATGCTAAGGGCAAGAGTGAACATGATGGAGGAAGAGAAAGATATTTCAAATTCCTAGAAACCATACCAGCTTTTTCAGTACTAGCTCTTTGAAATGGTGAATCAATATTTCGAAGCCCTAGATACTAACATATCAATTTTTCAGGGAGTTTATGTTCCCCCCGCCCCAAGCTGGGACAAGAGATTTTAAAACCTTGAGTTAAGGGAGCTGGTATAGATGATCAAGATTGTGAGATCCTTTTGCAAGCAAGCAAGAGGATGAAAACCAGTGATTCCACACATGATGGCTGGGTGGGTGCCGGTTCCATGAACAGAATTGCCGAAGGGCTGGCCCTTATCACGCTCAAGTTAAGGACTTAATAGGAATGGGTTCAACTAGATAACAGCCCCAGACATTCTGAGCAAACAGAACTGTATTACAAATTGTAAACAATTTATTTAGTGAGTGGACAAAATTGTATATTACTGTGGTGGCATTAAATTGATATAAATCAAAACTGACTTCACAATTCACAGATTTAATATAAACAAACCTGTACCTATCAGTCTTACTTATGCAACCTGGAAGCAGTTGCACAAATAATACAATAGAAATATGCAGGACAATGAAATACTAAAAACACTCCATTTTCCATTTTGAACAAGTATACCTTACAGAACGGAACAGTGAATTCATTATGGAGTTTAAATGTGCTCTGGATAAATTTCACATTTGTTCCAAAAATACTTTATACTTCATTCTTTGGTTCCCTCCCAACTTAGGTGTTCTCCAGAAGGCTGCAGAATGTAACTCCAAGACTGCTGACTTTTAAAAGTTCTGGAATTTCTGCAGTAAACACACAGGTGATGAAATTCTCATTTCTCACCAATGAAAGCACTTCTTAAAACTGATTAAGTACAAGGGAATACTGTTGCAGTTATTAGTACCCTTGGAAGAACCACACTTTTCTTTTCTGCCTAGGCTCATGTCAACATCAACAAGTAGAAAGAGACCAGTAACTTTAAGACAAAATGCATGCAGTTGACCAAAGCCTACTTTTGACAAGTAAGACTGTATACCGGGGGCAGGCGGGGGGGGGGGGGAATGCAGCCATAATAAGTTAGAGCTACTAGCAGCCTATAACACAGCTATAGTAAACGGCAACTGTACCAAATGTAAGCAAGGTTTTTCATTTGCTCCAGCGGGTGAGAGCGTAGTGACCAAACAAGATCCAAGAAGCTGGTTCTGTAGTTTTCATCCTTGGCTTGGTTTTACATGAAAACTGGAATGCTGTACCTGTAGCACGCTTGCTTAAAAGGTTGGCTGTCAGCAACATAAACCTTCCTATTTAAACAGAAATACAGTAAATATCTAAAGGCAGCCAATTTGTTCTCCAGCAGAGTACATTTGTTTAATTTTTTGAAAAACTAAAGTAAATCTGTAGAATCATAACTGACAGGGACACAATACCATCTTGTCTAAACCTACTAAATGACTGTAAATTCCACATTCTCTTAAGTAATGAATTATCATCTTGCTGTTGCTGCTGTAAAACTCCCCCCTCCGTTTTCAGTCTAGCTTCCTGCAGTTTAAACCCACTGCTTCTTAGCCAATCTTCAGCGCAAAATTTAAACAGCTTTTTCTGTAGTTTTTTGATATGTATTTGACAACAGTCAACATTATAACAGCCTCACAAACAAGTCCCCACAAAGGTAGAAAAATCCTTTATGAGCTAAACTCACAGTTCCTTCAGCCTTTCTTCATATGTCTTCTAGATCCCTTCAGCATCCTCAATGTTCTTTTTTAAGTCAAGGTAATTGGTTCCTTTTATCTATTAATTTATCAGGAACATAACAGAAAATTAAGTTACTTAAGTTAAAATTAAGTTTAATTAAGAAAATTAAGTTACAACATATATTACTTTAACCAATAGACTATACCACAGAAAGTTCATAACTTCATATGATGTTTATGTTTAGAGAAAACAAGGAAGACCATTTTTTTTAAATTATGATGAATTAAAAGAGTACTCCACTTCCAGCATGAAATGTAGCCGGTAAAGGGTTACAATTCAAAGTCAGACACAGAAACAAGAAATAGGTACAGTATTCCCTTCCTACAAATCAGACAAGATATTTGCATATTAGAAATTTCATTATGGGACTAGTGACAGTCCTAGAGCCAAAGGAAGAAGGGGTTCCAATTATAAAAGCTTTGCAAATAAGACTCCCAAAATTACTAGCCCACCATAATTTTTACTGTTCACCTGATAAGGCATTACAAAGTAAGTTGTTTGCGGCACATTAGCTGGGAGCAAGGGGAGGAGAAGGGAAATTCACTCCCAATAACTACTTGCTTGCCTAAGGGTAATCTATACTCACAAGCAAGCAGATATACATTATAACAGCCATTTATTAAGCATTTGGAATACCCTATCTTGTGATTTCAACCCACCTCTTCAACCTTCTCTCTAAAAAAAATATGCTAACTAGCTTTAGGAAACTGTGTTGTGCATTCACAACTATTCTACTTAGTTGTATATCTTTCACAAAAATTGACAGAATACTGCTTAATCAATGGAAGGTACACAATTTAATCTGTATGCCATATTTGTTATTGCACCTCAAAACTGAATTTGCATTTTCTGTTGTCACTGTCGTGTTGTAGATTCGCCTCCCCCCCCCCCCCCGCTATCCACCAACTATCCACCAGTTTATAAATTCCTCTATTTTGAGGTCAGTAACAACTTGGCATTTGTCTTTGGTTTCCAAGCAAGTGCTTTAACTGGCCAATATAAACTTTGAATTCTAAATCAGTCCTTCTTAGGTCTTGTTTCTACTGAGGTGGTTGACCTGAACGTGAGCTGTTCTGTTTTAGACCACAGGTATGGGCTCACGTGATGGAATGCTTCTCCATACAAAATACCCACTCTGCACAGAAAACTAGGAAATGGGAGAGAAGGCTAGGCTAAGGCTAGAACCAGTCTCCCTAGTTTTCAATGTGCAAGGATATTATCTATTATATATATTTGTGGAGCAGCATTTCATTACGTGAGCCGCACCTGTCTGAAGTGCCACATCCAGAGACAAGCTTACCACCACAGTGAGAGCCAGGCCTATGTCACACCCTTCATCTAGGTGACTAATAAAAGTGACTAGAATTGACTAAGCAGATCCCAGCCAAATCTTGTTGTACACCAACAATGAATTATTAGCGAAGTTCTCCAACAGCCCAACCTAATGCTCTAAAATATATTTCTCCAATTTATAATTCATGAATGTCATCAAATAGATGTATGAATGCTTTCAATCTAGTGTGTTACCCTCAGTCAAACAATTTACCATACCAACAGAGGAAGCTGAACTAAGGTGACACCGTTTGCTCTTTATAAAAATGCTCTTCAAAACTGTAGACTGCTAGGAACTGCTCAGCTTGTTTATAAGCTTAAGCTGCTTTTTTGTTCTACCTGCCAAGCTTATTAATTATCTCTAGGAAGCACACAATTCCATGGACCCTCCCTTTTTTAAGATAACCACGGCATTTGCCTTCAGCCAGTTAGAGATCTTGCAGTTGCAATGGGAAACTTTGGAATGGAAAGTGCAAGAATTTCCCCCCACTCCAAGTCCCTGCCAAAGACCTAGGGGTTTAGATTCAGTGCCATCAAAGCAGCCCCTCCAGCCCCTTCCTCACACTTACTCTTGCATGGAGATGAGAAGGGGATGCTAACAGCAGGGACACCTCCCAGTCTGACACAAGGAAACATGGGGAATTTAGTTCCTGATGCTTCCAGTGTTAAATGTAGAGCGTTCACTACATTACAAAATAATAGAAACTGCATTTCCAATGCTTCCTGGCAGTAATAAGCATTCCCTCAGCATCACGTCTGAGGTCTTCAAAGCCACAAGCCCTCTCTGTTGCTATCCTTACCCCCAAGAATAAGCTTGCGAAAAGGGAATGGTATGCAGGCAGCTGGCAGCAGCAGAGGCCTTAGGCTGCAGGTAAATCAACAGGGCCTTTTCAGACAGGGCTCATGCTTCCCAGTTCAGATGGGACTATGATATAACTAATTTTTTTTTTGTTTCTGGATGTAATGTTTTGGCTAATGTTTAAATTGTTTGCATGCCTCCCAATTTGCTTGATTGTTTATTTTCAACAAACAACCATGCAAAAAAAATGAGAGTGAAGGACGGAATTGGGATTAAAGAAAACATACTTTAACCCATTACATTTTTATAGCATTTTCATTCCCCTCCCAGGTAATTAGACATGATCTCCTGGTCAACACTATAGCTTCCACTTGCCATGCATAGGGCAGTTAACAGAAGGCAGGAACCACTTCCCTTAAACCAAGTCAGACTACTAGTCCACCAAATTCAATACTGTCTACTCAGAGTAACAGTCTCTCCCCAGGGTTCCACACAGAATTGTTTCCCACTCTAACTGGAGATTCCTGAGATCTCAAGTCTTTAAAAACATGATATGACAAACAAAGCCTACTTGCCTGGCTTGTACAAGCAGGAAAATACATGTGCAAATACCAGTTGAGGCTATTATTCCCAGACTCTGAAAATGGAATTTGGAATAACAGCTTCTCTCTCCCCATTTTAAATCAGATGATGTCACAATGCACAGACAAGCACTTTACAGAACAGTGAGAATTATATGCTGTGCTCCTGGGTGTAAAGTCACAACCGCATACTTTAAAGTGTTCAAATCAGCTAGAAGCATGTTCTCCTCTACGAGGAACACCTTAGCTATAATGTTTGCCTAGGATTCTGCACTCCTTAAAAGACCTTCTTGAGATCTGATTACATCATCACATCCCTAATAAAATATCCTACCCAGGATGTGATTTGCTTATGGATCAAAAATCACCTAGGAAAGAGAATGAAGCAATGAGTCTCATCTTTCTTTTCCCCTTATGATAACCGACCTGAAACACAACACTCTAGTCTAGCCTTTCTCAACCTTGGGTTCCCAGATGTTCTTGAACTACAACTCCCGTCATCCCTGACCACTGGCCATGCTGGCTAGGAATGATGAGAGTTGTAGTCGAACATCTGGGGACTCAAGTTTGAGAAAGGCTTCTCTAGTCAGTATGTGTATACTGTATTAGCCATACAAGAAGCAAAATTCTCTCTTACAGGAGAAACTTATTTTCAAAGTTCAGCATAGGGTTCAATTCTGGCATCACACATAATTAATGAATGATGGGCATGATATCTGAACTGACAAACCATAGTTACACAATCACACCACTGCTTCCAGAGACAGGAATCAACTTGTGAAGTGCTTAGTGTACTGGAAATTAAAGGAAACACAGCTACAAGCAATGGTTTGCCTGGAAGCTCACACCCTGGGTGCTAAACTGGTTGACTCAAACCATGATCATCTCATCACAGGGTCTGTTCTATACAAGGTAGAAATCAGGAATTTAGTATGGCAGCACCTACCCTTTGGAGCTCCCTCCCGTTACATGTCAGAAAGGATAAGTCCTACTACTGTCTTTTCAGATCTTCCTTTTTCAACAAGACTTTTAAGTGGGGATTTTTATCCCAATTTGTATTAAATTTGAAATTGGTTATGTTTTTGATGTTAGGATGTTTCTTGGGAAGCGAGTCATAAATGAAATAAATGAATAAATAAGAAGTGCACATTGGAGCCTGGGCAGAGAAGGCTCCCTTTCCCTCCGTTGTGTGTTGGCAACCCCAAGTTATTCTGGCATCCAAGCTAACAGCCTCAAGTTTGTGCAAATAAACTGAAGGAAAGATTGGTAAACTGGAACAAACTAAACAAACGTCTGCATCGCCGATACCATAAGAAAGTCCTGTATGATCTAAATGAAAGTATGGCATGATTCTTTTATTCACTTTCAGTCCTCTTCTCCCTCAGTGAGGAATTCTGGTGCCAGGTGATATGCTACACTGTATGGCTTACAACAGAGCTAGCCACCCGCTTGTGAAGATTATCAGAGATCACAAAGAAAGGAATATATGATAACAACAAGAAGATGAAGAAAATAACAAAGAGACTATCTGGACAGAACTGGACAGAATTGTGTCATTAAAGCAGCAGCAAGAGTGATGTTTGGATCCCTTTCGGAGCTCGAAGTATGGGTACCCCCAACAAAATTTTAAAAATTTGGCTGTATAATTTGGAACTAATGTGATTTGGAATTAATGTGATTTGATTGGCCTGTTAATAAAAATTATTTAAAAAAAAATACAACAGAGCTAGCCAACATGGTACCCTGCAAATGTTTTGGACTACAGCTCCCAGCAGCAAATCCAATGATAAGGGATGTGAGTTGTAGTCCAAAACATCTGCAGGGCACCACTTTGGCTACCCATGGCATGCAGCATGCCAGCTTGTACAAGTTATGCATACAGGTTGGTTGGTTGGCTGGTTGGTTTTACTTTTGTGAAAATAGATGACTCTTGTTTTCTACAGGATATTTTTCTGGAAAATAAATTTTGTGTGCCATAAACAAGGTTCTGATTCAGGTATGCACAAACCCACTACTACTAGCCATCTCAAGCAACAGATATTGCTAAAACCTGCCTAAAGCCCTAAACATGGTACAAGAAGCCAAGTGGCAAATCTTCCCTGTAACAACAGTGTTTGCTATTTTATAGCCAGTGAGCTGCAAAGCATCTTCATGGGATTTACTCAGGGCCACAGCTCAGTAGTAGTGCACATGCTTTGGATGTGAAAGATCCCAGGTTCAATCCTCAATATCTTCAACTAGGACTAAGAAAGACTCCTCCCTGAAACCCATCTGAAATAGACTCTGCATAATGCAACTTCCCATGTTCTGGGAAAATCCAAAACTTAGTAACATAATTTTTGAAGATTTAAAACTTTAGTCAAATCCATTAAGCACACCTAGTGCAAGCAGTTTAAAAGCAGCTGGAATCATTCTTTAACAAGCTGCAAATTTTACCTGAAGTATCAAAGGTGGAGTGCCTTCTTTCCTCATACTTGATTATTTATTCTCATATGCATAACAACCACCTGCAATGTTGTCCTTGGACATTAAGTATCTCTTTTGCATTAATCTTGGCTTCCCCCCTTGCCTTAAACACCTCTGCAGTTTACAGTCTCAATACACAGCTTAGCATGGCAATATGCATTAGGAGATGCTTTGCTTGCTGCCACACAAAATGACACAGCAGACTGCAGTTCCATTCTTCAGTCTTCTACTAACCAAGAAATACCCAACCACCTGAAGCTATGTGCCTACTCCACACCAGGCAGTTCTCAAATTCCACATACTGTATTAACATTCCCCAACTGTTCCCTCCAGATAGTTTTTTGGGAGCCTAACTCCCATCAGTCCCAACCTGCATGGTCAATGACTGGGAATGATGAGAGTTGTAGTCCACAACAAGTGGAGGGCATTAGGCACAGGGAGGGGAGTTGCCATATATCATTACTCCTTCAAAACCTGGCAATGTTCCTATATCTACCTGCCCTCTGTCGCATGAAACTTTGAGAAATTTTTCTATACAACACTCAGTACTTTTCATCACTCTGATGTTCCACTTCACCTACACTTCTGAAATATTCAAACCCCTCCATGTATCCATATGTAAAGTACTGATAGAACACATTCCAGTTCTGGATTAATGACGCAGCAGATGGAGGAGGAGTGAAGCAGCAGTGACCATTCATCATGTCACAATAAGTAGTAGAGATAAGATAATGTGGAAGCAATGTTGGACATTTAAATAGCATGCACCTACACAGTGGATATATCCAATACCTTCCTGGCAGCCCAGGGCAAGCAACCCCCATCCTCACATACACATTCCACTCATGGTGGACACTGGACAAGGGAGAGAAAGCCGGGCCTTCTCTATCCCACATGTTTTCTCAGCACAATACAGCTTTTAAAGGGCACTGGTCACTTAGATCTGAAGCTGAATTTCCAAGGGATGTCCATTAGTTAATTGACAGATTTCCATTGAACTTGAAGCCTGCAGCTCAATCCTATGCTTGTTTAGTTGGAAGTGTCACTTTGTTGAATTAGGCTAACACTCTGGTCAGTGTGCATAAGACTGCAGCCTTAGAAATACTGTACAATTGAATCACTCAAGACCATTGTAGTAACACCAGCACCATCCCTTCAGCTCCCAAGCAAAGATATAGAAACATCTGTGGCTGCAATCCTAGCTGCACTTACTTGGAAGTAAGCCCACTGAATGCAATAGAACTTCCTTCTGAGTAGACATGGTTAGGATTGTGCTGGTGGTGAATGATTTTGGAAAAAATCCTCCTTTACAGCTAGACAGACAGATCTGGAAGAGATTGTGAAGCTTATAGTAACAAGTATAGAATGAAATGGCCTTCAAAAACAACAAATTCCAGCGACAGTATATTATATGCAAGAAAACCTGAAATTAGCAACCACTGCCAACTTTCAAGATGAAAGAAGTGCTTCAAGTCCAGAACCAAACTCAAGTCGAGCTCCTGTAAACCTGCAAGCAATCACATAACAGTGTCTAGCCAACTCAGCATGGCACACCACACCCCATATCTAGAACACCACAAATGGAACATAGTCTCCAACACAACTTGCATCAGAAAAGGTAAAAACAGAGTCCCATGACACAACAATAATTCTGAAATCATCATTCTGACTTTCTAGTCACACCCCTGCAGTGGTAAAATCCAGTCTTTCTACAGAAAATTTCATGTTCTCAGTTCTATGTCTCTATCCACTTTAGGTAAAACCTAGTTTAATACATCAGGGGAGTAGAAAGATAAACCTCTATATCTGAATACAGAGACAAACTCTGAACCAATAAAGGGATGTTGTAGTCCTTTGGAAAGGTGAAGGATACAGGGGTGGGAAAGATGGTGATTAACCCAGGCTTCCTCACAATGGTCTTAATTATTTTCATATGCAGGTATCCCACACAATACTGACCATATCTCATACAAAAGTCACCCACGTGCAGTGGGTAGCACCAGCAACCTTGCAAACAGTTGTGCAGTATGAGGAGGAATGGAAATATCACGAAACTTATCCATTACACACATGCATACCATAAGGGGTGTGAGATTTAAAAGGTCTCACCTGAGGACATTCCCAAGATCACTTAAAAGAGATTAAATGCTCCCCCAGTATCCCTTTAGCTTGCATATCAAAATCTACAAAAGTTAACCCAAACCCAGTAAGGGCACACATCTTTGTGTCTAGTCATTTGTGGTCTTCACAATATTAAAAGCCAACTTTTGTCATGCTCCTTTGCTAGTCTCCGGAGGCAATTTACACTTGCCACAGGTAACCTGGTAAGTGGTTATTTACAGCACTGCTTCAATCACCAAATCATACTCATAGCAGATTACAGAGACACAAATGGGTGGATTTTCTGTACACCCTTTTCAGTGTGGTCTAATCTGCATGGTGATGGCAAGGATGGAAGCATAAATTGGGAGTTACTTTGGATATTAATTATTGTGGAGAACAAAGATGACTGTGTGCTGATGATAACATTAAACTGGGGGCAGGAAGACAACATACAGGAAGGTGAGGAAAAAACCAAAATATCAGATCCAGGGTTAAAAGGGAAAAGGAGAAACACACAATATGGGAGGAAAGGGGGGGGTTAACAAACTCAATCTTCTGCCACACAAATTGGTCTCAGGCCTAAAACATGGGTGCACCCAGCCAAAGGGAAGCCAAGTACACCTTGCATTTACTTACACGTATGTTTATGTTCCTCAAATGTCCCATGCAGTTGAGCAAGAGTTAAGAGGCCAAAATTTGGGACCCGTGTATGCTTCCTTGAAACTACGTCCCACAGAATACAGCAAGCCTTACTTTCAAGTAAATTTACCCACTTATTTATGGGGGTAAGCCCTACTGAATTCAGTGGGACTTTACTCCAGAATAAAGAGAGGCACAGGAGCAGGCTTCATGCTCCTAAGCAAGACAGAAGAGTCCAGATTCAGTTTTCACCTTGGCCACAAACTCATCAGGCAGGCTTAGGCTAGCAGTTATTCTGTCCCATGACCTGCCTCACCCCCATTCACAATAACACTGACCTACCTTACAGAGCTGTTATCCCCATATGAGATAGTATACACATACACACACACACACACACACACACACACACAAACACGGTTGTATCTAGTGTCAACTCCAAGCAAACTCATAGAAATAAATTGGCACGACTAATTTCGGTCCATTAATCTCAGTAGGTTTATTCCGAGCAGCACTGGATAAAACATATTGTATCTATAACACGATGTAGTAAGACTGAGAGGTCCCAAGACCACCACCAGCAGCTACCTCCACACTTATTCTCCCCCCCCCCCAAAAAAAAGGACTGTGAGAAGCAGCAGCGCTCTAAACAACTCTAATATTAAAAAACCAAGCAGCAGGGCGACTTATTTACCACCACCATTCATTATTAAGTATCCCTATTAGCCCTGCCCTCCGTTATTATTTACCAACGCTTCTTATTACCCAGGGAGGGCAACCCTGACACACTGGCGATAAGAGAGGGCAACGCTAACAGCAAAAACCCTGCAGCAGCAACAAACAACAACAACGGAGGACACAGAACGCAAAACGGCCTCTTCTTCTCTTTGACAAGGGCAAGACTTTAAACAAACAAAGGTTGCAGTGCGAAGAGAAACAGGAATCCCAGAGAAGCGGCGGCCCTGAAGCCTTGGGGTGGGTGGGGGGACACGAAGACCCCATAAGGGTGGAAAGTGCCTCCTCTCTCTCGCCCCCCTCCGGCCCGAGAAAAAGGCCCAACTCCGGAATACGCCAGGCCGCAGCTGCCTGAGGAATAAGACGCCAGGCCCCGGCCCCGCTCCTCAGCCGTCCTTCCCCCTTCCCATTCGGGCTGCTGCTGCTCTTCCTCGGCCGCCTCTCTTCCTCCTCCTCCTCCTCCTTACCCAGCGGCGGTGGCAGCGGCCGGCCATGGCGGGGGTCCCTCCTCCCCACCCCCCAACGGGGCGCGGCGGCGGCGGCGGCGGCGGCGGCTCGGAGGGGGGTGGTCGCTCGGCTTCCCCTCGGCGTCGTCGTCGCTGCTGCTTCTGCCGCCGCCTTCCCCTCGGCTCTGCGGCTCGGCGCCTCCGCCTCCCTCCTCACAACCACAACAACATGGCGGCCGGGGCCACACACCGAAGGGCGGGCGGGGGAAGGAGGAGGAGGAGCCCGGTGGGGGAAGCGATGGAGGGCGGGAAGGAGAGCGAAAGAGGGCGGCCTCCTGGCTCGACGCTCCTCCTGAGGGGGAAACAGTGGGAGGCGGGTCGGGGGCGCGTCTCGTCGTCTTCTTCTCTTCCCAAGGCAGGTGGCGGCGGCGGCGGCGGCGGCGTTGTTTCTCTTACTTCCCGGCTCGGGACTGACGGGAGCTGGCTACTATCGCCTCTCCACGCGGACTAAAATGAAATTAAAATAAAAAGTTCCTTTTTCCTTCTCGCGTCCCAACGCCTTGAGAGGAAGGCTCCTTCTTTCGCAGCGACACCGAGGGAAGCGTTCATTATGAGGCGAATTCCGACAAAAGAAAACCAATCAGCAACAAGAATTTTGTAGTGCCTTTAAGAATATGTGTGTGTATTATTATTATTAATTTATAATAAACTATATATATATATATATATATATATATATAATTTTCTCTTTTGCAATTTAAAGTACTCATTCTTACATGCTTAAGATATCAATGAGTTCCCTTCTCTTTCCATGGTTCATTTTACATATCATAAAACCCTGCATATTTTACAGAAACTATACCATTCAGTATTCCATTAATACATCCATCATAACTTATTTACACTGTTGAATTTATCTTAATGCTGCCAGCATTTTCCACCGTACAGTTATTTCCCATATATTCAAGAAAATTTTTCTTTTTTATATATTATCATTATTACTAAATTTGTTGCCCGCCCTTCACCAGCAAGGACGGGGTTACCAGCCGTTTAAAATTCAGAATTAAAAACAGTTAAGGCATATCAAACAGTTAAAACATAATTAAAAGCATAATTTGATGACATACAAGAATAAAGGACAAAATACAATTAAAATTAAACCTGCACACACACAAAATATGAAGTGTCAGTTATTTCACAACCTGGAAAAAAATTACTATTTTTGTTGGGTGAGGGTTTTCTTTGAAGATGTATTTGTAAAGGTTGGAACATTTTCCTCAAGGCCTTACGATATTCTCACTTGAAACCGAAAAGCTGGAACAAAAGGAAGGGCATAACGCTTACTGTATTTTCTAACAGAGGGCAGAAATTGGGTAAAGAGGAACCCAAGTCAACACAGTTGCCTTGGATTAAAGACCAGGGGGATTTCTAGTTGCACCAGAGAGGTATGGCACGCTGTATAGTGGTTCCCATTTTTGTGCTACAATAGTTATCACAGTCTAGAATAAAAGTCTGGGGAATACCTTGTTGGAGCATTATCGATTTCACTTCCCAACTATCAAAAACAGAAGTGTGGTGGGGGGATTAGGGGAAATACGCAGCAGTGCTGAAAATCCAGAACTTTCGCAAGTATCTTTACGATCTGTTTTTGTTTAAAGGGAAATGGCTATAAAATAGTCAGGACCAAATGTATTGCTGCAACAGGTACAGAGAATGGACCTTTGCTGGTGATCACCAACTTTGGGCTTTATTTCTCCTCCCCTGCATGAATGATAGCACTTCAGAATGCGCTGGGTAATTAAAGATGAGGAAAAATAAAAGCCAGTGACATATGCACTTGTGCAGGACCACCCCTACAATTAGGCAAAGTGTGACAATTGTTTCAAGTGAAAGATGCAGTTGGGTGAGGAGTGCTGGCAAGATGTTGGGAGGGCATACCTTGAACAGGTCCGCGGTCAGACTTTGCATGGCATGCAAGACTTAACAAAAATTCCAAATGTATATTAATTTGCATATAATGAAGAATAACGACTAGAAGTGGCTGTAAAGATTATAATGATATTGGCCTTCATACATCAAACACAGATGATTGCATTCCCAGGATTTTATTTTCAGTAATGTAAGTTGGGGTCCTATCAGGGGGGGAAATGAGAATCAGATCATACAATTGGTTCTAATGCCATACATGTAAGAAAACAAAACTGATATTTAAATACTTGATTTAAAAAAATGCAGTTGGGCCACCCTAACAAAATGACATTTCAGTTCTCTAGACCTTTAAACCTGAGAAACCTCACTTCCTGCAATCAAAGGAGTACATTCCTTGAGCAAAGAGATTTTATCACCAACACAGAATTGTAACGAAATCCTTTGTCCTACCTTGCTGGAAAAAACAAACATGAATGTGTCAAAGGCATTCCAAGATGCCAGAACAAACTTGCAAAAGTTAGATTTAGATGGCTGATTCAGACTAGAGCAGTTCCGTAAACTGGTTCCACTCCAATTCTAGAACTGCAGGAATACGACACCGGCGCAAGGAAGAATCTGTGTCAGCGGTAGATTACAGACAATGGCTGCTATTCTTTGCACATGTTCCCAAGTCCTTCTCTTTTTAAAAAGGGGCACTGTCCTTGGAAGTTCCATCTGAAAAGAAGCAGGAAATGCCACCTTCACTGTAATCTGTACAGCAGAATATGTCCTAGGCTTTGGATGTCTTTCACGAGCGCTGGAAAATGAAGATCAAGCCAAATTTATCAGCTTCTTGAAGAATGGCTGGCACTCAATATTTGCTCTGCATGCAAAACACCCCAGATTTGATACCTGGTGTCTCCAGACAGGCCTGGGAAACACTCCCATTTGAATCCCATGAGAGCTGCTGCCTGTCAGTGTTTGGCAGTACTGGCTTAGATGGATCAATCGCCTAGTATAAGGCAGCTTCCTATGTTCCTGTGAGCACAAGTTTGTTTTTGGAACATTGGTTTAGAGAAGTACCATAAAACAAACAGTAAAACAAACAGAATAATGAAATAATCTGTTTTGACAGGGTGAACAATATTCAAAAAGGAGTGCCTTAAAAGAGAAAAGCGACAGGAAGGAAAGCATGAGCCGAATCCCGTTTGCGCAAGGTGACTTGAGGATTGCAAGAATAACATTTTTCTAAACATGCAACGCACATAGGGAAGTGACAAGATCCACCACCGCTACACATCTAAGGAATTCCAGGCTCAGAGACAGTATGTCTTAGGATCATGAATGACGGAGAGGCATTGTTCTTATGCCCTGCTCATAGGCTTCCCAGATGCATCTGGGAATATAGGACAAGATAAGTCAGGTGTAGGGAACCTTCTTTAACCCAAGGTACACACTCCCTCATAGGCAACCTTCTAGGGGCTGTATACTTCATATTTGATTTCTTAGAATGTACATATAGTTTGACTGTTAAAAGAAAACACCTCCGAGCAGTTTACAGAAAGAATAAAGCAATAAAATTATTGGTTAGAAAAAGTTAAAAATGACTATTTCAAAACCTCAACAAATAATTAAAATCAACAATCAGCTAAAAAAAACCAGATTAAACACATGTCAACATTTTACATGTCTGGACAGGCCTGCCTAAACAAAAAATGTTTTTACTAGGCACTTAAAAGAATACAGTGATAGCAGCTGCCATATCATTGGTGGGTGTGGCCAGGCACTCCGCTCTCCATCCTTCATCCAAGCAAGCAAGCAGGAGTTATTATTTCAGTTCAGGGACACATTCAGGCTAGGTAAAACCCACAGAGGGGACACAAAGTAGCGATGGGGGAGAAATTCAATTCACTTTGCATCAAAAGGTGAACCTACCTAATTTGCACTTTCTGAAACAATACTGGAATGGAAACACAGCCATTCTTCACAAATCTGTACTATGAATTTTGCAGTGAGGTCTACAAAAACGCACATGCTGAGGTAAAGTATGCATAAAAATGTATATGTTAGTAAAAATAACATTTCAAAACACATTATTTTAGGGGAAATTACTTTCCACGAATGTGTATATTAAGCGAAAGTACAAACTGTAATGAGATATTCGTACTATGGTGCTGGTGAATTTTAAGGATGGTGATCATGATGACAAACAAACTGGTGTGGAATTGTGAGGAACTGAACATAAGACTGGAAAAAGGAGAAACTTAGAAAAACAGAAATTGACATATTAATCCATCAAGGTCACATTCCAGCCAGGTAAAACTAACAGAGGCTGTACAGAGCAGAGCCAGTGAGGAGCATGGCGGGCTGGGGGGAGTTGCATTTGACCTGAGGTTCGCCACCTCTAATTTATATCCTAGATTTCAAACCTTACTTATTCCTGTGCTTCGGGTTCTCTGACCTACTTGTGAGAAGAAAATACAAACAGCAACACCACAACAACCCACCACCACAATCTTCAGTCTGCAAGCGCCCTTTTGTATTCTGCTGGAAAAAAATAAATAAAAGTGTGAAGAATCAACAGTAGCCTTATTTCCATGCAAGAAGGAAGTTCATTTGGCCGCAGCTGAGAGTAGCAGGAGCTGGTGGAAAAGAACTTTGAACAGAGAATCTTTCTAAACATACAGAAAAGCAGTTTTTAAGATTGTAAATGGTGAGGCTGTCAGCTGGGAACTTGCTTGACATTGAAAGAACCCAGAAACTTTGGAAAACGTTTTTTTTCTCTCTTTCTCAATCTCAATTTTTTGCAGTTTGCATGAGACATGAACAAATAAATTAAAAGCCAACCTCAAACCGTCTATCTCCTGGGAAGACTCTGGCATCTTTTCCTGCACGCTGCATTCTTTGAAAGGGAGAATACTGCCTTGTGCCTTATCACTGGCTGAGCCAAAAAAGGTTCTCTTGGTGCTCAAACAGAGCCAAGACAATTAGCGACATATATCTGTCAAACCTCCAGGCAATGTCAAGGCACTCATCCCAGGCTTTGACTGGATAGGACACTCTGGACCATTCAATAGTTGTGCATTCAGCGCTCAACAGCTTCCAAGCAGCAAATCAGCCCCTGAGACGGGTCTTCTTCTTATGTAAGTCAAACTCCATTTCCTACAGTTCCTTTGTTTAGAAAGCATTAGGATCTTGTCCAGATTTTGCTCCTGCCAAAATATGAGGTCCTTGTGAGCTATTTTTCAGGACCAGTTTAGCTGTGTGATGTTTGTGTGTGTGTCTTTAGCTCATGGATGGGAAAACTTGTGGCCCTCCAGATGTTGTTGGACTACAACTCCCATCAGCGTCAACCAGCATGGACAATGGCCTGGGAAGACCGGAGCTGTAATACAACACTGGAGGACCACAGGTTCACTAACCCTGCTTTAGCCCTTGTACAGCTATTAAGGAAAAAACGAAGAAAATGCATAGAGGGACCCTGGAACGGCATCAGGAGGGCTGTGGCATGGAAGGGGCTTTAGCCCTGTATCCTTACATGGTCTCAATAAAAATATTGGGTGGGGGCAGTTCATGCCAGCTATTTGTAATGGGAGGAGAGCTTCCATCAGTACAAATGGGAGAGTTTCTTCCAATACAAATAGCAAGAGGGGACCCTGCTTCCACGTAATCCAGATCAGGACCACAGTGGTGTTGAGGGGAAGGGTGATGGAGCCCTTACTTCCACAAAGGTCATGGTTCAGATTACCCCCACCACCTCCGTGACTGCTATTTA